TCCCTGCCCTTCCTTTAAGCTTGAGAATGAATGAATATATGAATATGAATAGCCTTCTATGCGAATTAAAAAAAATTCTTAAAGCTATTAATAGACAGTACTCGTGAAAAAATATATTGTTAGATTTTTGACAGAATACTTACATTCTGTCATCAGAATCAATATTTCAATTTAATCAGAATCAATACATTCAAGTTCAAAGCAAGTCAACTCCCAGTCACAGTGGAACTTGTTTTCATTAATCCCCTCGACCCAGGCAAGTTTAATTCATGTTTAATTCAAAAATCTCATCCCTACCTTCCCACCTCCTTGTCATGTTAATAACCTTTGTGCCTGTGGCTCGGTTTTTCTGTCTGCAGAAATGCAGTCTCTAAATTCCCTGTAGAATCTAAATCAGCATTTTTCTAATTTCTTTTTTTTTAAACCTTTTATCCATTATTTTCATAGATCTGATCCTATCACAGTTTTTCTTCTTAGAGAAAACCAGGAAACGGTGAGTGGCTCCTCTTTCAAAGAGTTTTAGTAGCTGATGGGGATATGTATCTTTTCCCATTAATCATAAGCCATCTGTGGAAGAAGCTTCCTGTTTTCTCTGCTTCCAACTCCACTTATAAAAACATCTCTTACGTATTCCTAAAATCATAAAATTTAATTTATTCCATTTCAGTGATAAACCCCCACCTAGTTAGATGCTTGACCAATCAGGTAAATACTGTTCAATGTCCTGATGCTCAACAATTTAAATAAGTAATTTACATACATCAATACTTTTTCTGAAGGGCACACACGGTGTGTTACAGGAATCTCACTTTGCCACTGAGATGGCAAGATTGCTAGAAGTATATTGTATTTATTGGAATCAATCTAAATTCTGATTCTTCAGAAGGTGTAAGGACCTACAAGAAGGAATATTTGAAATGCAGTTTTCAGCAGGCAGTGAAATATTTTTCCACATAGTTGTATCCCCAGCTAATTTTTGGCTCCATGTTTACCATAAGAACAGTAAAACACTGGAATAAGTTGGCCAGAGAAGGGGTGAAGGACTCTGCTTGTCAGGGCCACAAGTAACATAAGTCTTTGTTTTCAACAGAAGATTGGACCACGTGGTCTCCAGAGGTTCTTTCCAACCTAAATTTTTTCCATTATTCTGTGAATGTTTCTCTGATACTCAAGCAAATATGGAGAAATGGACTGGTCAGGCTGTGGTACTGCTATTAATTTGTGGGGAGTAACAGCCCTGGCTCCTCTAATCTGATCCCTTCCTCGGAGTGAAGCAACTGCACTGTTTTAAGAAGGAAACATGAGGGAAGGGCAGGTCAGGAGAAAGTAGTGCCTGAGCTCTTCAGAGTAGGGACGTGATGGAAGTCTGGAGCAGGTGGGAAAGTACTCTGTACATTTGAACATAAGCATCAAGAAGGGTAGCTGAACAGTTGAAGAAACCTGGGACAAAAAGAGGTAAGGAAGGAGTGAAAAGGCAGTAGGATATGGGTTTGATATGTGCTTGGTATACTAAACAGTTTAAGTATTGAGTGCAATCACCAAGCTTGATAAAGTTTGGATGGCAGAAGGACTGACATTGCAGGAGGCATTATACACCACTAGGTGCTGAAGGCAGTGTAATGTGGGTGGTCTGGGATAGTCCTCTCTGGTAGTGTGAATATCCCTGGGTTATTGAAAGCAAGGGAATTTTCTGAGGGTGATGGAGGAGGAAGGGTACACCAAGACATTCTTGACTGTTTATACTTGAATCACCTGAAGAGGCTGATGCCTGACTGCTGTTAAATACTTGAGAGAAGAAGAGAAAAAAAAAGTGTATTGTCTGGAGCAGGTATTAACACAGTTATTTGATAGTGAAATGGGCCGTATAAACTCAGAGAGATGGAAGCAGTAACCCTTCTCCAAGTTGAAAAAATGTTTTGTGGTTTTTCAGTGTTTCGGGGAAGCTGGATTGTGTAAGTAGATGGGTATTTCATTTGCCTTGGTAGTCCATCAAAACATGCTTGAGATTGTGGTTCCTTTTCTCATTCTTTATCATGATTAGAGGTTAGATTCCTCTCTTTTTCTAGAGAGGAAAGGTAGTCCTGTCCTTAGATTGTTCTGGATCGTTCCATTAGCTGACTACTGCAACTGTCAACAGCATTTGTCTTCTGATGTTTTCTTTAGTCTGTAAATGAAATTGAGGACATCTCTGAAATGTCACTGCCATGTCTTGTGTGCTGTGTACAGTATGTCAGATTGTGCTTTGCAGTAGGATCAGGAAATAGTCAGAAAACCTGAATGTGTGCTTTAATGTGATATTACTTCGTTCAGATCAATTATTACTACTGCCAGTATCTGTTTTTATATAGTGCTTAGCTATCTGTAGAAGAAAAACACTTTGTAGAGAAGGGTCAGTACCCTTATCCCTGGTTTAAGACAGAGAACACTAGGGAAGGGAAGTTCCTTGCCCGTAGTCATTCACAGAATCACTGGCAGAGCTAGGGTTAGAATCTGCATCTTCATTAAGCAATTTAGTGATGGGTTCTTCAAAGTAGTGTTGTATTGGGAAGGAATATTCATAGATTTTGAATTAAATATGATTAATACTGTCTTTTTAATAAGAATATTGTATAACCTATGAAAAAAATTTGTCTCAATATGTGGAATTGTCTCTATCCAGATTTTTATTATCCCTACTAAAGAAAATAGATTGCTTTCTGCCATTGTCTGTTTAGCCAGCTGTAAGCTCTGTTGGACAGATTGCATGGTATGCTGATTAATGATACGGGCCATGGGTGATTAGCCAAGCATGTAATGAGGGCCTTAGCTTCCAGTGTATTGTAGAAATGCCATTGATCAATACAACCGCAGTCTGCAGTGTCTTCTGCACAGCAAATTTTGACCAGTGGGGAAAAGTGGTTTAGTGCCTGGAGAGCGGCTGAAGTGCTACACAGCTGTGCTTATTCTAAGAGGAGGCTTAAATTTAATCTAAGGTGTTTATTTTTTTTTTTCCTTGATATGTTTCTTTTCTGTGATTATGGGCACCTCCCTATGCCCATTTTTCTTGCAGAATAAATCCGAAAGACTTAATATGCATTTGAGAAATCTGGGAGGTTGTATTTCTACATGTGCTTAAAAAAGTGGTTTTAAGTGGTTTTAACTGTAAAAAAGTGTTTTATTCTTCCTCCAAGGCCAGGAGGCAAAATAGCTCGATGAATTCTGACAAACAGCATGCTGTTTTATAAAATGTTACTAGATCAAGCTGTCAGATATCAAAGACTGTATAAGCTACTTTTGTAGCTGATAATATTTTTTTTAATATAAAATCAGCACTGGTTAAATACTTTCTATTTAGAGAATGCTGAAAATACATAATATGTTTGACTTAATTTCACATTTTTAGTAATTCTTCTATAGGAATGGTGAGGTTTTTTCACACTTTTTCCTGAACAGCCATCAGCATCAGTGCTTTGAGGCTATATAAATTCAGATTGTAGAGCAGAGTTGGCTCAGAATTTTTTTTCTCCGTAGGAGCAATAACATGAGGTAATTCATTTGCTTATTATTACTATTAAAATATCTTTAAATATCTCTTTTTTATTTATAGGTAGTAACTCAATTCCAAATTTCTTTCGCATCATGAAGCGACAGTTTACTGAAACGGAGTGGAGTGTAATCAAGTCTATGAGTAATGAATGGATGCAGCTGGATATGTTTCACCGGCACTGGGTAATACTTTTTTATTTCAAGACTGCAATGCTACAACCTTCACTCTCTCTTTTGGTAATACTTTATTTTTATTTTCATTATGGTAAAATTGTATCCTTTTTATAGTTACATATTCATGTGAAGAAAATATTTTAATGGGGTTTATATTTTAGTGCTTTTTTTAATGTCAGAATAACTTTGAGAACCATAGTACAGCTGACGTTTCTGGAAGGATTTTTGAGTAATTTTAAACACATACCCACAACAGGGTAAAAGGTTCATATCTGGATGTGCCACTATAAGTCTGGTTGTTTGTTCGTTATAATTCAGCAAGTTAGGCTAGGTATTAACAATGCTGGTCACTGTTTCTCTTGATAATTGCATCAGTCTACACTCACATTTACACTAGTATAAAGTCTAAAATGTATTTGGTCTACAGTGTCTGCTCAGAAGTAATGTTTACAGAACACTTTTAAAACAGCAGTATGAATAAAATACATTTATTATGTATTTTAGGCCTTAAAGGAAAGCTTCTTAAAGGCTATTGGAGTTGGAATTGGCTTTAACTTGCAAAGAATTGAATTTAATGTATCCCCATTGCAACTGGAAATAGGGAAGGTGTATAAGGAGACAAAAATGCTTCTGGATGGAGACACAGAAGAAGGGTGGACATTTGAGGTAAGAAAAATTCCATTTTATCTTTTCAGTAATGATAAACAGTCTCAACACCCTATGGTTGCATTTCACATTTGATATTTTTTTTTTTAAATTGCAGCTTCACACCCTTTATTCTGTATAACCACACTAAACATGTATCAGTCCAAACTTAGGGTATAAAACCACAGGATTTTAAAGTATTTTTGGTGATCGCAAAACCAGCCCAGAGATACGTTGATCATAATGGCTTTTTATTTTTGCTGTTCCTTGAGTATATTTCTTGCACTCTATGAAATTCATCCTCGGGCATGCAGGTAGTTCACTGAAATATGTTCAGACCTGACTTCTGAACAGTGTCTAAGATTTTAAAGTTACTCATTAGCTGTTCTAGAATGGGACTAGTGATTAACTGCGTTGGTTGGTGTTCATGTTAAATGTTTAAAATGGAGAAAGTGTCTTCAGCTCCTTTGGGTTTCTTTCTTCTTGACATACAAGCTGGTAGAAACATGCTTTTGTGGGTTTGGAGTTAGGGTGTGCTGATTGGCTGCTGTCTGTGGGAATGGACAGCTGCAAAAACCTTGCTTTTGCTTAACTGGGACATTAGTTTGGGCTCACATCTTGAGAGTGTCGGGTTTTGAGGTTTTGTTTGGTTTTCCTTCTTGAAATTTTTTGAGACTTATCACTCATACATCTATCCTGTTAGATTTGGTAGGTAATGATCAACAGCATCTGAGGTAGTATAGAGGAAAAGAACTGATAGGGACATGGTTTAGTGGTGGACTTCGCATTGTTAGGTTAGTGGTTGGACTTGATGATCTTAAGACCCTTTTCCAACCTGAGTGATTCTATAATTTGACCTCTTCACAGTTCATTCCTTTCAGCATTTCTACCCACATTTGGGTTTGTGCTATTTTTAAATTCTACCCATACTAAATCAGCCCTCTTACAGATATTGCCATACTCTCTAGGAATTGAGTGTGTAATGAAATTCACTAGTTGGAATTACAGACTGACAAAAGAAAATTTTAGGAAAGAGTGACACATCGTGTAATAGGACACTTCCTGTATTAATGCTAACAGTGTACCCTTGTCAAGGAAGCATCTGCCTCTTTCGATTAACTTCTGGAACCTCCTAATTTTGCTCTTTGACAGGCCTGTGGCTGGTTGACTAAAATAACCTGAAGAGGATGTAGTAGATAGCTACCTGTATTACTTAAATGCTTTATAATTGTTTGATTTTTCCTTGTTACTTAGTAATTACTGCTAGAAGCTTAATTTAATTTTCATCTGAGGAATGTCTCCTCTTCCATTCTTTCCCTCCTACTTCCCAAGAGCGCAGCCCTATAACGAGACAGATTGTAGTATTACAAAGAAAGGATCAAGTTTAATTTAAATACAAGCTCAATTGGGATATAATTTCATTTAAATATCAACATTTATTAAAATGAAATTGAAAAAAATTAATTACTTTTTCAATTACTAATTCCCAGCCTAAAATTAAGGATCACACTACTTTTTTGTCTTCTCCCAAGTTTCTTTCAATTTTGTGCCCATTTGCTTTATTACAAAAGTATTTTTTGTTTCATTATTTGCCCTTGAGCAAAACTCTTGAAACCACTTGCTAACTGAAAGCACTAATTTTGAGAAATCTGGAAGAGTCACCCAAGAGAAGGCATTAAGAATCACCCGTAAGACTGCATATTACTCGTATAGTATTTTCCTTGTGTTTTCCTGTTATGCTGAGTTTGCCAAGTAAACTTTTGTATCAAAAAAAAAAAAAAGACTTCTTTTACTTTACACTTTTAATTTTCAGATCTGCTTCTGTTTTTATGATAGGAGATGAACAAAGAGAGCAAAGGTGTTTAAAATGCAATTACAGCATGTTTTGGATTATATTATTTCAGTTTTAAAGAGAATCTGATTTACCAAATAACAGAAGGGAGAAATAAGGGGATTTTACCCATTTAAATGATACAAAATATTCTGACATCTCCTTCAGAAAGTACCGTGTGATAAAAACAAAAGCATAAAGACTAGAAAAAGATCTGCCACCGTATACTTGTCATGCCTAGAAGGTTGAGAGGCACTAGTGAATCAGAGCAAATCAAAGCTGACGCTGTTCACACACCCTGTAACTGTTCACAAGAAGAGCAAAGCCTGTTCATATTGGAGACAGAATTTTCTGTGATCATTTAAAAATAAAAATAATTTAATTTTCTGTTATTTTCTTGTAAATACCAAGTGAACTACCTTGGTGTGTAGTTGAATGTTTGCAGTCCCTTTACCAAGGGTTTAGCTTTGTTTGAAGTGTCTTTGCCCTCCTCCACTCTTCCTGTATTTTTGAGCTTGGATAGGGGGCGGTAGCTCAGAAACAGCCTCTCGTTGTTTGATCTTGATTGATTGGTTTAGCTTTAGGCACCTGTTTTCATATAGTACTATAGAGATTGCTACTCAGATTCTCTCCAACTGTTTTGGAAGGAGTAGGAGGAAAAATTCAGTAAAACTTAATTTAAAAATACGGAATTAATTTTAAGATTATGTCACTATGTGTGTTAAATATGCTTTATTCACATAGGCAGTGCACACCTTCCTCATTTTAAAAAGGTGAATTTGTTTAGTAATAATTAAAAATTTACTAGTCCAGTGAAGCATGATGCAGTACTTGTATCAGGGTATTAATTTAGGATGAAGTAACTTTTCTGGTGATGATTGTTATTATGGGTAAGTGTTTATGCTCCATTTACTTCCTTTGAAACAAATAAACTTATGGAATGAAGTTCTAGTTAATTTTAATAAAATTGAAAGAAGTTGATTGATGGAAATTATAGCAAGTTTCATAATTTAAGGAGATAAAGATAAGTTTACAATATATATCTGTAGCAGATCTGATATGAGGGGAAAAAATTCCTAACTACTGGTTGCAAAATGTTAATTTTATTCATGATTCTTCCCTTATTGTTACCAGTTTTTTACAGTCAATCAGAAATAATAGCTGGGTAGCACTTACTGGGTTCTGTATTAAAGAAGAATCTTAAATGCGACTTAAGATGTTTCTGTTTTGATCCCTTTTTCAATTTTGGTTGCAAACAGTTTATAAAGGAAGTAGCCAATCTCTCCTAAACCTCACTCAGGGATTAAGAATCACCTGGCATCACTGCTGCTACACAAATAATTGTTTGCATTTTTCCACAACAAATACTTGCTTGGTTTGTCTGTATGCAAATACATTACATCCTGAATATGTATTTCAAACTGAGGCTACCTGGGACAATATGAAACATGTTTAGGATTGTTGTTGGTATGTAACTATAATGGAGTCTTTCACCCTCACTAAGAGAAGTTAATCCTTTTGTACTGTCAGAAATAAATAAGAATGAAAACTTTCACTTCTAAGACCAGCTAATCCAACTGGATTCCCAGAGCAATCAGTTCTGCTGGCTAGGAAGGTACGCTTCCCTCATAAGTTGTCTGATGTTGAGTGAATTCAGAATGATTTAAGTCCCAGACACATCATTCTGCCCAGCCTTTGAAATGAGGTCATTATGAGTCTTTGTGTGCCTGTAGCTTGAACAGATCTGGTAACACTTCGGTTCTGTGCAGAGAAAACCAAATTTTGATCCATTATGTGTTTTCTGATTTATACATAGGCATCTTAGAGAGGAATCGAAGGGGGCCCACAAGGAAGCTAGGGGGGACTTTTTACAAGGGCCTGTAGTGACAGGACAAGGGGGAACGGGTTTAAATTGAAAGTGGGGAGGTTTAGATTAGATATCAGGAAGAAGTTCTTCACGGAGAGGGTAGTGAGGCACTGGAACAGGTTGCCCAGAGAAGCTGTGGATGCCCCATCCCTGGAAGTGTTCAAGGCCAGGCTGGATGTGGCTTTGAGCAACCTGGTCTAGTGGAAGGTGTCCCTGCCCATGGCAGGGGGGTTGGAACTAAGTGATCTTTAAGATCCCTTCCAACCCAAACCATTCTATGATGCTGTGATTAACAAAACAAACTTTTTACCTCAAAGGAGTTCTGTACCATTGCCCTCTTTCTCTTTTTGTTTAATCATCTATCTCAGATGATTTAAAACATTTAAGAAGCTGGGTTTACTTTATTAGCTGGTTAGCAACATCTCCAGATGAGTAGGGAAGCAAGCTGATGCACTGCTTTTTACGGTTTCAGTATGATTCATTAATGCCATGCCTTAAGTTTTTTTCTGGCTGCTCGTAGTGGCCAGGAAAGGGCCTTCCCTTCTGTATTTGGTTTGGGTTTATATTTCTCTGAAGCAGCAAAGATAAGAATAAGGGCATAGTTTGCTATGGTTTATTGTAAGGTGCTGAAAACTTCTGTGACCACAGAGGATATGTGAAGTAGTCTCTGCAGGGCAATGGTCCCCGTTATCTAGAGTCACTGCCTGTTAAATGCAGCTTTGAGCTGACAAAAAATGAGTTTATTAAACATATTATAGAGACTTTTATATTGTTTTAGTTGCACAAACAAGAAGTAACTCAAGTTCACTTCACAAAAAGAAATTCCTGTGAGTTTAGCATAAAGCTGTAACACAGTTTGTTTGCAGATTTCTGACTACAGGTGTAGACCACTGCTGAATGTGCTGTACTGTGCCACTGTTCCGATCAGTCTTTAACCTCTTGGATGTGCAGAAAATTAATGAAGGGGTCAAAATTATGAAAAACTGGGTGTAGTCATTTTTCCATCTAGACAAACACAAAACGCTGCGACCCTAGAACTATATAAATTGTTTAGCAACACTTGATCAAACATCTGATTTTCATAGAGTGTTTTTATTTTTGAGGAACTTACAGAAATGTGGGTGATGTTCAAAATGGTTAGATTTCTTCAAGTCTGAGGTAGCATTCTTTATGCTTGACTCATTTTCAGTCTTGTACCCTATTAAAGGGATAGAAATCCTAGTAAAATGCTTCATAGTAAGTGCACCTACAGCTCTTGCAGCTGTGGAAAATACCACTTACACTGCAGATTTGTTAGTGTTTCTCATGTACATTTAATATTTTCCCCAATCTAGGCACAGTTGAAATAGTCGTTTTCTTACTAGTGCTTTGCAGAAAGGTAAAACAACATGAACATGACATTTTGTTTTTAAGTAGGTGAGGGATACAAAGTTTTCTGATAAGTCTGTCAAACAGGCACAGTTTTGGTGCTGAAGAGATCAAAGTGAAACCACAGTTTTATTCCCACGCCAGCACCTATCTGCTAAGACACCCACATCTTTGCTGGTAAAGACTCCCAAGCCCCTAGCGATACTGCTGCTACACATGGCTAGAGCAGCTGCGGTTTGAGCTGAGCTGGGTTGAGTAGGGTTGAGCTGAGCATCTTGGCACCTTTTTTTATATACAGGACTGTTTGGGAATCACAGAAATGGTGTCCCTGCAGCTGAAGTCTTTGAAAATCCTACGTAGTAGATGAACTGTAGGGAAGCCTAATGCAGCCTGACAGCATTGTTTTAAAAGATCTTTTGCTTAGATTGAAAGGGAAGGGGAGGAGGAAGGTAACCAACAGCCTGGCAGAGGAAATAGGACATCATAATGCTTTCTTTATATTATAATATAGTGCAGTTAGAGTATCTTCCAAGGAAGTGGAAATTGGAGGTTCAGTCATATCCCCCAGAAGAACATCCAGACTACCAGCTGATTTTCAGATTAATGGTGATTTCTAAATTGTTCATTTTTCTAGATAAAATACTTGTTATTCTTGATTTACATTTTAGAGAGTTGCTGCAGAAATTGTGTGATCTTTTTTTTTACTTGACTATAAAATAAATGTTATTCAGAAACAGTATGTAAAAGTGGGTTTTTTTCTGAAATTAATTTTTAGGATGAATTCTTAGCTTTTCTAGAGGGAAACACTTTTAAACAAAACTATTATATAGATAAACTATATTACTAAATATATAGTTACATATCTAAAAGGTCTTTTTGAGGAAAATTGATTCATATTTACACAGATTAATTCTCAGACTGCCATGTCAGAGATTTGAAGTTGTGATCTTGCATGCTGTCTGAAGTCAAGACTGAGAGAGTCATTAGTACAGTTTACACTTAGATTGTTGTTTTCCAGAATATCTTCCAGAAGTTCCCAGGTAACCTCATTGGAAAACAGGTAGCTAAGATGGGTCCTATGGCTTGTGACTTAGAAAGGAGTGGTAAAGCAATGCTAAGGTGACAAAACTGAATATAAATATCTGCAAGTGGGTGAGCTGATGCTGACCTGTAGTAACCAGTTCAGCCCTGCTAACTTTTAATGTATCTGCATCCTTGAGCTCTCCAATAGAACTGCTAAAAAGGACTATTGCTTTTTGAATGTCGTTATTTTAAAGTATTTTAAATGATGTTTTGGTATTGTTCTGAACCACATTCTAAACATTTACATAGTCTTTGCTGGAAACAGAATAAAGAATGCATTTACATTGCCATTCTTCATCTTCCTAGGAAACCCGGTTAGATGACCATCATCATGTTGCAGTGGCTCTTGGGAAACAGGAGGGATATGGACAGAAGCATTTTGATGTAAGAAATTATGCAATGTTTTTGGGTCTTGGTAACTAAACACTTGAACATAAACTTAGCCTGATGCTGTAGCTGAAAGTGTGTTATCTTAGATATAAGGCCGAGGAGAAAGCCTATCTTAAGCACAGTATTAACCGGAACGTTACCAAACTCTTGCCTCTAGTTCTGTAGTGCCTGTTTCAAGAAAGGTCTGGGAAGGAGGAAGGGTTTCAGAGGACAGCAACAAATGATGTCAAATCTGTATGTGTTACAACGTTCACTGTGTTTATTCAAGGGAAGACTAAGTGATTTTTTGTCACAGTCTGCTAGTACTCATGTAGGAAAGATGGTTTTCACAGAGGGAAATGGAGAGAGTGAACCAATCTGGACTGCTAAACTAGTATGGCACCTCACCATGTTGATTTTAATGGGCGACTGTCAGTGTATGTATCCCAGAGCAGATCCGTCTCTCAAACACTGTTATGACAAGATAACCCTTGAGACAAAGCAAGAACAAGCAACAGATGGGAAGAACAGCAGCGTTAGTCTTTGTTCCATGTGGTCTTTTTATTGAGAGAAGCAACAAAGCTACTTAAAAGTTCTCAGGATTTTCTGTGTAATTTAACAAAGACCTGGGTCATGGAAATAGCAGTAAAAGTCAAATTTGAGGCAGTCTGGCAAGTTGTAGCTGAAATAGCCAGACACTCAGAAAAGGAAAGTGTGACGAATTGCCACATTTGTCTGTGGTGTTTCAATTGCTCACAAGGAACTGGGTTACTTGTTTTGTGTTATTTAGATACAAAGGTTCTGCCAGGAACTAGGAAAAACAAATTAGTAATGAATGGATAAAAGGATGAAAGTGGTCATGCATACATCTATCGGTAGTCATAAAGGCTGAGTCTGTGATCATGGATAACACAGACAGACTTTTTAACTAGTACTCGTTAGATTAAAAAAGAGGTATAAACTACCTTTGAGGATTTCCTGTGGTAAATCAGTGCTCAAATATTCTTTAAGAAAATGTGGGTTTTGTTTGACAGACATTGACGTTCCCTGTGGGGCTGCATATCATCCTTCCTACAGGAACACTGATAAATGTCAGTCTGAGGTGAAAAGGTGGTGTCCATTATTTCTAAAGATAATTACCTAAGTATTCTACACAAATCTAGGATTTTTAAGTATTGACCTTCACCATCACTGTCACATCTTAACATTATTATTTGAAGAGTTATGATGAAAAGTCTTTGAATCAAGGAAATGCTCAACGGCATACTTGTCCACTGACTGCATTTGTGGTGACCTATATTTCATTAGCTCATTTCACTGAAAAAAGGTCATTTTAAATAGGGCAAGTGCACTCTGTGACTCCCCAGTATAGAAATGAAGTGAAAATTCCTTTACTATCGCACTGTGCCTTTTCAGGACTCTTAAGAGAAATGAGAAGGAAACTAAAGTGGCCTTCTCTCTTTGTAACAGAACATTAAAAAAGGATTCTATGCATTGCTAGATGTGTTGAGAGGAAAAGGTGTGCTTCGTCTTAGACATTATGCTATTACTTCAGGATGTCAGTGCTTGTCTCTTTTCCCTCTCTGGTATCACAGGAATAATTCACTGTGTCCTGCTTGCAGAAATTGTACTTTCAGTGAGCTTTCTTTCCAACGTGATAGCAAGTACCTACAGTTCATAGGAAAACCAGTTTTTACTTCACAACACTATAATTTAACTTCTCTGGTGTCAAGAATCTTAACAAAATGTCCACTAGTGATTGCTATATGCTTGAAGAGGCAGAACATTTATCTGTGCTCTTACCAACATCTAGACACTTATCTGAGGCAGGTCTCAGTGAAAGATGGCTGAGTTTATAATTCTTTATAATTCCTGTGTTGGCTATAAAATATCTTTTAGTCTATCACTTGCTAAATTTCACAGGACCTCTGATGAATCCAGTCAGAACACACTTGTCTTCAGACAAGCATCTGCTGAAGTTGAAACTAGGTCTCTTTCTTAACAATATGTTTAGCTCCAAGGCTTAGTTCCTATTTGGTATGTATCTGTAATGTCACTTGCATGGCTCTAGGTACAGTTCCTGCCTCTTTACCGCATCTTCAGTGTGCCAGATGAATAGGAATGTCTCAACACAGTGTTGCTTGTGTGAGGATGTAAAGTGACAGACAGCTCAATTAACTTTTGCCTTCAGTTTGTATTGGATAACTTTGTGTTTTGCTGTGCTGCTGCAACAAACACAAACCATTTTTTGTCTCTCTGTTCCTGAAAGTAACTTACTACTCAAACACTGAAGCAGAGAATGGATATTTTTGCTCTTTTACTGACCTACCTTCATTGATGTGACAGGAAGGGTTAACAAAATCAATAAAACGGGCCTTAGGCAGGGTCATCTCCAGCACTTGCATGTAAGCAAGCAAGTACCTAAAGGCACCATTATGGAGAAATTCTCCAAACACTCTCCAGGAACTCAGTATGATGGGATGCCTCTCTAAAGTGCCTGTACACTAACACATGCAGGATGGTCAATAAACATGATGAGTTAGACATCTGTGTGCATTTTCAGGACTACAATCTTGCTGGAATCATGGAGACGTGGTGGGATGGCTCCCATGGCTGGAGTGTTGCAAACAAGGGGCACAGGTTCTTTAGGAAAGACAGGCTGTAAGACATACCCTTGGTGCAAGAGGATCATGGGATACTTAAGCAGACTAGATGTACATAAGCCCATGAGCCCTTAGGGATGCACTCGGAGCGCTGTGGGATCTCATAGATGTCATTGCAAGGCCACTTTTGATAATCTTTGGTTGATCATGGTAACGGGGAGAAGTGCTCAAAGGCTGGAGGAAAGCAAATGGCACTCTATCTTCAAGAGGACCCAGGGAATTACAGGGTTGTCAGCCTCACCGCAATCTCTGGAAGTTTAGTGGAGCAGCTAATCCTGGAAACTGTTTCCAGGCACACCAAGGACAAGTAAGTCCTTAGGACTAGTCAGTGTAGTTTCACCAAGAGAAAGTCATGCTTGACCAACTTGGTAAGCTTCTACAATAAAATGACTGGCCTGGTAGGTGAAGGGAGAGCAGTGGGTACTATCTAGCTGGACTTCAGTACTTTCTACCTCTGACACTCCCTCTCATAAGATCCTTCTAGAGAAACTGTTGATGTATGTACTGGCTAAGCAGACAGTGAACTGCACTGAAAACTGAACAGTTGGGCCCAGAGAGTGGTGATCAGTGGCACAAAGTCTGGTTGGATGCCAGTAACTGTTAATGGTGTACCCAGCAAGTCGTAAATGGATCCAGTCCCATCTAAAATCTTCATTAATGGTCTGGATGATGGGGCAGTGTACCCTCAGCAAGTTTGACGACACTAAACTGGAAGGATTGGCTGATATGTCAGGGAGTTTTGCTGGCATCCTGAGAGACCTCAGCAGACTGGAGAAATGAGTCAGCAGAAATCTCATGAAGTTCAACAAAGAGAAGTGCAAAGTCCTGCCCCTGGGGAGGAACAACCCTGGGCACCAGTGTATGCAGGTGGCCGCCCAGCTGGAAAGCAGCTTTGCAGAAAGGGCACTGGGGGTCCTGATGGACAACAGATTGAACATGAACCAGCAGTGGGCCCTTGCAGCAAAAAAGGCTGGCAGCAGGTTGAGTGAGGTGATCTTTCCCCTTTACTCAGCACTGGTGAGGCCACATCTGGAGTGCTGTGTCCAGTGCTGGGCTGCCCAGTACAAGAGGGACATGGACATAGTGGAGCGAGTCCAGTGAAGGGTCACAAATATGGTGGACTGTAATGTCTCTGCTATGAAGAAAGGCTGAGAGAGCTGGGACTGTTCAGCCTGGAGAAGTCAAGTCTCAGGATCGTAATAACATTCCTAAATACCTGAAGGAAGGGTGAAAATTGGATGGAGCCAGGCTCTTTTCATTGGCACTCATTTACAGGACCAGAGGCAGTGTGCACAAGCTGAAACATAGGAGGTTCCCTCTGAATATCAGGAAACACACCTTTTCACTGTGAAGGTGAACAGGATTGCCCAGGGAGGTTGTAGAGTCTCTATCCTTGGCGATATTCAAAAGATACTCTGGATGTGGTCTGGAGCAAATGGCTGTAGGTGTCCTTGCTTGTGCAGGGTGGTTGGACCAGATGACCTCCAGAGCTTCCTTCCAATCTTACCCATTCTGCGATCACCAGGCACCAGTATTCACTCCCCAGGTAGCCAACAGTAGCTTAGCCTGCATCAAAAATGTGTCAGTGTGTGTCATGTACTGAATAACCCCGCTGCAGAGTGGCCCTGCTAAATTCTACCGAATATTAAACATTAAGAATGTGTTGCTTGAGCAAATGCAGACTTTAGAAGGATCAGCTATACTCATGTTTGATTTGTGCAGCTCTACTAGTTGCCCTGCTGTTTGGAAGGAATTGCGCTTGCAGGTAGCATACAGCAGGCTGCACAGGAACATGTGCTCAAAAAACCAAACCTTTTTTCTTTGAAACATGACTTTGCTTGAAGCGATGAAAATAATGCAGAGGCCAGGACACTCTCATCTCCAGTATCTCAGTTTGCACTTAATCTGGATTTAACCCTGGGAATCGCTGATTGTGATCACTTTTGTCGTTAAGTAGCATGAGCTGGAGAGAAGCATGCACAACCCCAGTGATTGCTGGTATTAAAGTGAGTATGAATAGGGACACCTCTAGTGGAATAAATCTTCACGCTGTCATCTCAAGTAATCATGTCTGCCGGAGAATGAAGTACAGTTTGTTTGTTGGTCTGTGTTTTCTTCTTTTTATCCTGGACTTAAATCCTTGGTTTTTGGTATTTGCAGCATTCTCAATCCCTCATTCTTTCAGTTTTCTGAACTGAGTTTCAAAGAAAAACTTGGTTTTTCTGTGTGGCCTCTTACATGCTTCTATTAGTTACTGTATAGCCTAGATTAGGGACAGTGACAATTGTCTCACCTGGAATACTTTCATTTTTCTTCAGTAAGCAATGTGTAGTTTAAACTGGGCAAGGAATATTGCAGGAAGAAAATTGAAATTTATTGATTCACGCAATACTAATATGTATTTTCCTTAGGTATATACCATGGAGCCTAACCAACCACAGTTTACATTACTGACTTTTGAAGATTTAGTTGCATCTGGTATTCCAGTCGCACCTGAGGATTCTGCATATTGGGATAATTTTTGTTCTAAGCCTGAGAGTCCAGTGAAACAGAATTCACATTCAAGATAAGAAGGTTATAAGAAAAAGGAAATTGTCATAGTTTTTATGCTGTTACTCTACATAATTCAGAGTGTGGGAATAAGTGCACATGTGTAAATGAAACATGTTTTTCCTTATTTCAACTAGCAGTCCGATTTTCACCTTTTTAAAATTGACATTCATAGTATCATAGAAGGGTTTGGGTTGGAATGGACGTTAAAGATCATCTAGTTCCAACTAGATGATCCCTGCCATGGGCAGGGACAGCTTCTCCTGGGTCAGGCTGCTCAAAGCACATCCTTTATCATGATCGTAAGGAAGATGGATGTTTCCTCACTGGAGTTCTGAGAGAAAAGTCTTTTCTGCTTCTCCATGCCTGTGGTTCTTACACTTCAGTAATTACCCATGCTAGGAACAGGGAGCAGAGCTACAGTAATGTTGTTGACTAATCAACAAGTGTTTAATATATAAAAACGTTTTTTCCATACTTCATTTAAACTGAAACTTACATTATGATACTGCTTTTTCTCTTACAAAAAAGAGTTTTATTCTCAGATGGATGAATAAAGCTAGAAGAATGGGTACAAATCCTTTTACCGTATGGTGCAAGTGTTCGTACAACACTTTGTATTTGTGTGCTGGCAGGCTGAAGAAGTGAATCTTAGTAGTCTTGGGACTACATCTGTGCAAAACTAGTTTGAGGCAGAGAATTAACCTATAAGTATTTAATATCCTTTTCACTTAGAGTCTCTGTTAATTAAAACTTCCTGTGTGTAACTTGAGATTTGATTTTCTTTTGTTTTATTCCCTCAGCAATAAAGCGAAACAGCAGTTCAGTTTTCCTAGACTTTCATTTACATCTGTACTGTCCTAGACACTAAGCCAGGTGAGAGGAACCAAGCAAAAAACCCTATTTACTTTTTTCCGAACAGTCTTGTAACATCTGAAGACAGAATATTTTATTGTCTTACAGTGAATTAAAATTTCTGAAGATCTGTAGATCCTGAGTGCACCTTTGGAATATTTTGTATTCTTTTTCAAAACAAATCTTGTTTTGTGCCATTAACTCTCACTTTTCTTTGTATAAGTGAAAGATACATTATGGTCTGTCTAAATGTAAGGAAACATAATGAGCAGAATGAGTCATACCAAATGGAATGATTTTCACAGCTAAAAAGAGCTGATTTCTGCCCTACAGTTAAACGTAGATCTTCAGTAAATTCGGGTTTGTGTACAACTTGTCTGCACCCTGTTTTCTGGCTAACGGAGAGTGTACTTGTAGTGTAATTGCTAAAGCCATGCCCTATTTTAAAGATAAAGAAAAGGTTCAGAGAGAGAAGGATTTGAGTTTTACAATATTATACAAGCTTTTGGAGTTCTGCTGTAGATAATTCTGAATTCAAATATGCTGTTAAACTTTCCTACTTCTACAGTTCTGATTAATATTTTTGTTTCCATTTCAATGACTCTCTCATCTTGCATGCTAATCATGGTTTTTGGTGTTTTCTTTTTTTTTTTTTCCTCTAAAACTGCAAATCAGTGAAGCAGTGACTCTTCTCTCCAGACTCCACAGGTGTTAAATTAGATGTTCAGTAACTTCAAATCTAAAGTTAACAGAAAGACACAGTAATTTATATAAAAATTGTAAGTCAAGTAGTCCAGACTTTTTTAAACAACATACATCTGAAAATAAATAATTGGCACTCCATGGAGTCCAGTAAAGGTTATTCATTGGATGTGTAATGGTATCACTTCCTGGGATAAGATACTTTTAACTGATTTGATTGGCTCTGTCTTATTTTGTTCTACCTGAAGTGTTCTATAATCCCAATGGGCAAGTACATGAAGGTGCTTATGAGCTAACTAGAAACATCACCAAGCTGAAAGAAAGGTCTTGTTCTGCCACAGGTTTCGGTCGCTGGCAGAATAAGGAGGCCTGTTCAGAGTACGAGGGGCTGAAGAGTACTGAGCTCCATGGCTGGCTGGCTGTTAACTGGTCCAGTACATGCCAGTCCTCACCAGTGACTGCGGACCCCATCAACTGCAGCCATACCAGACAGCTTTTTTATTGGCACAGTGAAATGAACTGCAAATACAGGGTGAGTTGAACAGAGAATTTTCAGGTCTAGATTTCTGGGGATAAAGGAATTAATTTCATATTGGAGATGAGGGGGGTTTTCCTGGTGACTCTTTCAAAACAGATTTTTTGTCTCATTGGAAGGAGTTTAAAAAATATTAATGTAATTATTTATAATGTTGTGCCTATGTATAAGTAGAGGACAAACCAATTTTGTTAAATTAGAAAATTACACTCAGCTTTTTTGCCAGGAATATGATAATTTTCAGGACTGTATCTAATGAGAAATCTTAGAAAAAGGAGTTTGTTTTGATTAGCTTTCCATGAAATAAAAAGTTTCTAATGGTCCAGACAGAATCGTTGAGAAGATTGCAGTTCCTCACATTATTTTTTCCATGCCTTTGTTTTACACTGAGCTATTTGAAAAACCAGATTAATCTCTTTTTTTAACCTTGGGTAGCAGCAAGGTTAGGTGATGGTGATGCCCTATGAAGAGCACTTGAGTCAGGCAAACTGACACAAGTTTGACTCTTGCTTTTACCACCGTGGGGAAGAGCAGCTGTGTAGTTATGGAACTATCGGCTAAAAGCAAGCAGCCAAACGGCCAGCAAGACGCTCTGACTCCTTATGAATGTCAATGATCTGCCTTAAAGTCATCCGAAAGTTTTTTCTGGGCATCGGTGTACTGTAGAGGCACGTATTGAAATAAACATTACTAGCGTGTCCAGCTAAGTTAATGTAATCTCACAGCTTGTAAGATTCTTCTATTATTTCACCTTCACGCATCCTGTTGCATAAAAAATTCAGCTCTTTAATGACACATGGCCATAACACTGGCTTCCTTGCGTTTCCTTAGAGTATGTGTCTGCCATTTTTAGAAATACTGGTCCAGCAGAGCCCCAGCTTCCCTCACTAGTTCAGATTGCTGGCCCAGTCCAGTGCGGGTGAGCTCACCTTTGCTGGTCTCCCATCACTCTTCTGTCAGCAAGACATTTCCCAGTTATATCTAGAAACCTTCTGGCCTTCAGGTTCCTTCTCCAGAGCTCCAGTCCTTTTTCTGTTTTGTTTTCTGTGTGCTGCCCTAGACATGACCATACCATGTATGTGGATCCTAAAGGGTTAGAAGCTGCAAAAACACAAGCTCTGCTCCACATGAGCCTTTCGCAGCAGGGACTGTGGCTACGTAGTATTTTTCCCTATAGAACAGGATTGACCAGCCTCCCTGTTTCTCAAAGTACAGATTTAGGTCTTAGGTCAGATCTGCTGCCCTGGGCTGTAGATCAACCCAGTGTTTCTGAGGAGTAGCTATTAACAGCCTCTGACCTAAAAATTAAAGTTGTAAAAAGTTTTGGTCTTCAGTGAAAAGATTGTCAAAAGCGAATGTGTGTGTCTTAGGTTGGACATAGTATCACGTTTAAACCGTGTTGTATCTTGCATAAAAATTGTTACAGTGGATTAGGAACTTCAAGGGGTAAAACTGTTCAAGACAATTTGGAGCCATGTGACAAGAGACTGGTGCTGTTTGATGTGAATATCTGTAGCTTTGAAAAGTGGATCATATGAATTCACTCTTAGCCTTTCACGAAGTCTGTAAACCTATGCAAGATGTATAATGTTACTGTATTATGGGATCAGATGCACTGATCATCAAATGTACTGACCTTAGACATGAAATCGTGCCTATAACAGGAGAAGTAGTGTAAATGTGGTTGTAATTTATATGTTCTTGGAAACATCCAGGCAACAGCTCACCTTTAAACGATCACTTTACCCAAGACCTCGCAATAAAGCCAAGATCTGCAAAGAAAATCAAGATAGAAAGGAAAAGATAGCTATTCAGGTGAGTCCAGGCTGCCTCTTTGTTGGAGCTTTAAAACTACACAACGGTTGCTACATTCTACAAAGACAAGTGGTTCTTGGGCAGAATTGATAGAACCGAGTCTCCGTCCTTAACTGCTGCCGAATTCTGCGGATGGCTGGGCGTGCTAATTGGAGCTTCTGATTCCACCAGAATTGCATATATTTGAATGCTCTACACTGTATAGAAGATGCTGGCATGAAAATAAATTCTGGATTCTTCTCAAGAGAAACAACCTTTAGAAAATTGAGTTTAGGTGTTGGGTTTATTGTTGTTTTTTAAAAAGTCACTTTTCTACTATGTTGTTTTCCTGTGGTGTACATACACCTTTTTTATGGCCAGATGCTATGTATGAGTCCTATTTCTGCTAAGATTGAGTTTAATTTCTTTATTGAAATAAAAAGTGAGTTATTTTAGGTTTGGGGTTTTTGTTCTGATTTTGTGTTGTCTGTTTATGGTTCTACCTTTCTCAGTTATTTTTTTATCTCACTGTTGTTTATCAGACATAGGTGAGATTACTGAATCACTTGCTTAACACTTCTTTATTATTTCTGAAGCAATTTATGGGAACACAAAACCTTGTGCTCCTTGTGCCATCCTTTAGATGAACCGTGAAATGCAGTTCTGGACCACCTCACCACTCTCTGGCTTTTTTACACGTTTAGGTGTGTTCAGGTTTTTCTTCCAGGACGGACACTCCCTGGTTTATTCATGCAATTTTAATTTAATAGCTTGCAACTTAGTTTTTTGAAATAACTGTGACATAATCTTGGTGCATCGTACGTTAGGGTGAGGGCCTCATTATTTGGTCTAAATTGCAATGGTGTGAGGTTTAATACTTGCAGGAGGATACGTATTTTCAGCTACAAGGCTGTGTGTTGCGTAGTGCCACTTAACACATGGAAGGAAATTTCTGAAGGATTTTTTTTTTAAATAGATTTGTAAGTGTAAACAAATGAGTGTTTCAGTTGTAATGCATCTTTAGTCCTCCAACACCTAGAGGTACCTAGGCACCTTTCTTTCTGCTTTGCAAAGCAATGAAGAAGCACTGACATGCAGCAGGGTGTTGGAGAAGCTGCCCTGTAGCCGCCTTAC